AGGCTAGCAAGAGTTTCACTGGAAAACCAAATGCCTTCTAATGTCCAGACCAGGTTTGGCCCTTCAGACTTCATTTCAATCCAAAATTGAAAGAACATTTTAAAAGATCATGGTTTAAATCCCTAGAGAATAGGAAACCTGCTGTTTCAAAATAGTATATATTGAAGAGGGCAGAATTCTTTGAGAAAGGGGTAGAGAGATGGAAGGAAAATAAAAAAAAAAACATTTTCAAATGGAGGGTATGCCAATAAATAGTATTTTTACATTTTGATATGTTTGTTTTATAAAAACTCTCTGAGTACTTTTTTTATTACCTTAACACTTCTTTCTTGAGAGATAAAAAGAAGCCTTTCCCCCACCATCTATTCATTTTTCTAGTGAATCTCCAGAATTTGCATTGTCCATTAGGGAGAGAAGGCAGACAAAACTTATGACTTAAGGAAAAGCCACCACTATTCCAAGGCTATTAAAATCACCCTAGAAAAATGGATTGATTGAATGACTAGTGAATGAATAAATAATTCAATAGTTTATTTAAATGGTCAAGAGACTTGATATGATGTGTAGAAAATGATTACATTCACAGTCGCTTACATTGTTCCTTAATCAAGAGTCCCTTAGTATTGGTGTCTAAGTGACAACCAAACTTTAGCCATGTTCTTGCTTCTAAATATATTTTAACAAGTTACTTGCAATTGTCTATGATTTGTTGAGATCTGTTTGTGTTTAGAGAACTGAATATTTTTAAAGTGCAGGCATCCAAATTAATCATCAGACAATATTCATTAAGACTGATTCTAGAAAGTCTTCCTTTAGCTTTAGGTGATCTACTTTTGCTAATGTATCAATCCCATCTTGTAAATGCTTTCCATTAATTCAAAGCAAACACTATCGTTTATTGTTTTTATTTTTAACTACAGTGTAATGGACTGCTAACATTTCAACATTTCAGTAAACATGAACTAAGCTTCTTCCTAGAGAAAATCATCATATAAGGCTTTTAATGAAAAAAGAATGGAAATCACATACATGTACTTACTTTTTGAGAAATCCATAATGATTACTTGTCTTCAATGGTCCAAGAGTTAAAAAGATGAAACAGATTTCATCTGTAGAGGGTTGTACATGGACTTCTGGCCACTCTTACCCATGGATCCATGCTCAGCTCTTAAGCATCCTGTGATAATAATGATCAATTTGATATTTTCATTCCCAATATGTGGT